ATTTTTATGTGTACACTGACTCAGTTGATTTTCCTTAACTATTTTAATAAACGCCGGAATATCGTGCAATGCTCCTGAACACCTTTGAATGACTTATGGCAAACTGAATTGAACATCTGGAGTGACTTATAAAACATGTAAACTTACACAAAGTGTGCTTTATTATAATTGTGAATTGCGTTAACCCATAGTATAAAACTTTCATAAACGTTGTCTACTCTAACGTCAATTTTGAGTGGCATACTTTACGTAAATTTATTTTTCTGAAAGGATTTTCCACCAAATGGTTTGCGTCAAGGAAGAGAGGTATTTGTTACTTAAGACAGATGAAGTAAACAAAATAGGACTTTAAATCCCCATTAAAGTGCATTTAAGATACACAAGAGTTATCTAAAACCCATTGAACGCATAATTTATAGCCTTGATTATAAGACGTAACACATGCAAATGTAGAATATATCCACTGTAATACAGTTTAAGAGGTGCAACAATTGATGCCAACTTCAAGAACTTTGAGAAAACCTTGTTGACAATAATTTTTAATCTGCTTTTCAACCCAGCGAACAAACGAACTGCCTTACATGATACAATCTTTACAAAGCAACTTGCAGCATGTGTATAATGAGTGAGGCAAAAGCCAAAGTTTAAATGGTGATTTGAACTACGTTAAAATAGTTGAAACCTTTCGGCAAGTTAAAATTGGGGAAATAAAGATAATAAATTAGTAATACATTGTCACCAACGAATTTCGTGTAATTACTCGGTTAACTATACTCTCCTGATAGTCCTTCAAGTATAAGAGCCTAGTAGTAGGACCACTAAAACACGCAGTTCATCGATGTATTAGCTCTCAAAACCAATAAACACCTTCAGAAATATGAAACTTTAACTCTGATTTCTGAAACATTCTGTCATGTATAACCTACCACGAAGTTTAGCGATCACTTTTTTTTAACAAGAGTTGAATGTGTGAAACATCAACTTGCCGATATTTTCTGAAGTAAATAAGCTAAATTTGAATAGGGTTTTGTAGGGGAAAATCATCAGATACGGTTGAATTTCATCTACCCGTCACCTACTTGAAAAGATTAGGGACATGTTTATTAACAAAGCAATTGAGCTAAAGCGAGTCTATTCCAAATTTATACACTTTCAATCGTAATACCTTGGGCACACAATACTCAACATCCATACTCCTTAACCTTATGTTAGTTATAATGAAAAGAGTATCTTAGTCTTCGAAACAGAACTGCCGGGAATAAATTTTGTCGATTAAACAAACATCTACCAACCAGTTTTGATCAATTCTAAAGCTGAGAACAAGTGGTTCCTCATCTTATAAACATTTAAATGAAAGCTTCATAATACAGTCAGTTTCAAATGTCGCTCAGCAAACTGATTTCCAAGCTGTCCTGTTGAATGTAAAATGTGATTTCAATGAGAGTATCGATTCGAACAAAACACTGTCTTAAGTTTAAATCAAGAGGTAGGGAGAGTTCTCCTGACAATAAAACCGAAAACCAGCCGTTCTTCCTAAATTATAGGTAGTCACATGAAGTATGTGTTACTGAGGAAACTAAAAGTATTTGACTGCTCAACAACTGTTATATTAAGTATCGTTTGGTTTCGCTGTGTTTTGGATAAGGTCGTTTTACTCAAACCTTTCAGATTAGATCGAAATTTATATTTAACACTTTAGTTTATTGCAGATTATATTATTAGAATTTAAGAAAGTTTCTTGCACCCTGGTACATGAACAGGAAAGATGTGGTTTACAACAGTTTCGGTAACCATCAGGCAGCTCCCAAGTTATTGAAGCTAGGAAAGTGATCGGTTGCCGCCTGCGACGTCCGACACAGCAAATAACAGTTTCGTTGGAATTATTATATTCGATACTTATTTGATGATACTATTTTTCCTCCGGCTTATCACTCTTTTTCAGCCCCCCTGAGATATGCCACTGAAAACATATATGGAACGGGTGATTTCGTCCTGCACCATCATATTCCAAAGGGATATAAGGCTGCGATTTCTAGAAGCCCCTTTTCTCGACCATCAGTTGCATGTCTCAACGCAACTTTCTTAAAGCGCACCAACTGTGATACTGGCTAAATGCATCTACATTCATATCAGCCCAACTGTGTAACTTACTACAGTGAAAATTGTGTAATTTGTAACAATTTGATCTTGTCTGTAAATTGGCATGCCTCATGTAAAAAACTGTTATTTGAGAATAAGTTATTATTATTATTAATTTCATCCACTTTATATAGCCCGACTAAGAAATTCTTTAGTCGTTGCATAGAGATCGTTAGGATTTCGTAATAGCTTGTTTGTCAAATTTTAATAGTCTATACACAGGAAGCACTGTGTTGTGAATTGTTAGCATGAATGACCTCAACACGTATGAAGTTGACCGCGTAAGTGGTGAGAGCTGATGAAGGAAAATGTAAACATGAAATTGACACTTGCAACTGTACTACTAACAGTTCTCCTGTGACAAATCGCCATCAACTTTGTTACATAAGGGATGTTTCAGGCACGAAATAATTCAAGAGACATCACACCTTTTCTTAGACTACATGACCTAAACCCTACGGTAGAAACATGTAACTTATGAGTTGTTAATAGAAGCCTCATTAACTTTTGTATATGCACCGAAGATTCTGGAGATAAAGTTAACATGGTAAACGAAGTGATACTGAGTTTTAGCGAAGCGGTCCAGTTGCGTTCAACATGTCTTTAATACGTAATGATGATTAGATTTCGTGTCCTTTGCTTAAGTATTCAGAGTCAGTAGTATACAGAGTGGAGTTTAAGCCAGCTAATTATGAGATTCAGTATGTGTGACGACCAGCCGGTACTCCATATACAAGTCTGCCTGTTAAACTTCTATCCAAAGGAATAGAATTACCCTGGTTGGGTTTTAAAGATAGTCAGACTAGTGGATGACTGAATCAAAGACAAAGTGATCTTTCGGCATCCATAATGGCTCACGTGATCTATTGGTTGAATTGTTTATTCAGTCAAAGAATTAAAACCGAGATCATCGCTAGACTGAAAATAGCTTATAACTTTAACTTCAAATCCTTTTGGTAATTTTATTAAGATTACTAGATATGAAACAATCTTAATGACATAAGACAAATCCTAAAAGTAAGGACGAACAGTTTGGTGTCACAAATACCAACAATGCTGACGATGAGCAAATTATCGGGTAGTTGTGGGCTGAATATAGACTTCCTTAGTGAACCAACAATATGTGGAACTCTTTGCCTTACACGTGTTTACATGTATTTCGATGGGTGGGTTTAGAGGAACTTTGAAACTGACCAGAGATAATCATTGTCATGTCTGACATAGAACTTCCAGTCTTGATATTTTCTTCATGTGTGTCTTAAAACGAAATAAAGTCTGTAAATAACGGAAAATATCGTATCTTTAAACACCCCTAAACTTTCGAGACATAAATGTGCAGACACACTGCTCTGTTCTTGACACATTTTTCAAGTGCTCTTTTATCAACCACAGACAACCTTTTGATTAAGAAAAGGGAGTGGTTATTCTTGTTCACATGTGAAGTGACAAGATGAATGTTTACAGTGACGTACTGACTTTCTCGCTCTTTGGGGTAGCGGAGGCCACAGAAAGAGTTACAAATGAGTCCCCTCGTGCCTTTCTTCTCAACAATCCCAATTTCTCCAGAGGACTATTCGCTACAAATCTATTGGCTGCTTAGGATAACTAAAACTTTGCAAATGGTGCGTCCTGGCCTATTAGATATCTTCAGAGAAATTGATTGAGTAGATCAGTGTATTCTTTCACGAAATGAATGTTTTTTTTGTGAATCAGGCAGTAGGCTAAAAGTTGTCGCAGTTTTATCTACTTTACTTATTTGTCTTTTAACGTCAATGGAATTTCCACAACGCCCTAACTTTGAACAACACTTCTAACTGTTTAAGGACGACCCGAACAACAAGAGAATCAAATTGCAATTTAGGCACCAAAAGCTTATTCTTAAACTATAAGTAGTCAACCAAACTATGTTATTCTGACAATAATTATACCGACTACACGACAAACATTTTGTCTTTATGTTTCCGGAGAAAATTTTCCAAAATACCGAACCAAAACAATGCGAAATTGGGAATGTTCAAGGTCAAAATTATGAACAAATAAGTCCAAGGTTTAAGTCAAACGACCTTATCCAAAACACAGTGAAACCAACGATATTTAATATAACAGTTATTAGGTAGTTAAATACTTTTAGTTTCTATTTCAAATAGCTATCAGTATGTACTTGGGATCTCATCCCGAAGAATCTTCTTTACAACATGGCGTCACCTTAAGTACAATATTCTCTTATGAACGTGTTCACAGAGGTGTAATCAAATATGATTTGAACTAAGACTTAATTTTATTCATGTTACGTTGAGGTTCTTAATTGGTAATCAGTGACATGTATGACGGTTAATATGGATTTGATCATGATAGGTTACCTTTCTTCCCACTCCAACGTATCACTGATGTTGTTTGGCAATAAAATACACCTAAAAGAACACTCGTTCACAGTGCAACAAAAATAAACCCACACAGATATCCATACAAACATTTAAAATACACACGCTAGTAATTTATGAAAACCTTGATGGTTAGCGATTATGATAGCATCAAGTGAATCTTTCAAAAGCAGGTTCGGTGATAACTTCACTATCTTATATATCAGGGGGATTTACTACATATAACACGTTTCTATTAATCCTGTTATTAACCCATTTCTTCTCACCGTTTAATTGCTAGAAGAAACAAAATACGAATCCCAATCTTCCGATGTTTGAAGTATGAAAAGAATAAAGAATGCCGCTAGTATTTTTTAATTTTTTATGTTTTCTAAATGTACCCAAAAATAAAGGTTAGGATCTTGCGTGTCATTGGAATTCTTGAATTACAAAGACCTATCAGTTTTACTAACTCGCTAACGATTATAGTTGTTAGGACATCTTTTGAATTTGGCAGTTGAGGCTTGTTCGAAATTCTATTCTACTAGCCTGTAGTTTCGGTTTTCAGATTGTCTTAAACTTGTGCTCGTCTTATTCCTATCTGTTGTCGGTTGCTTTCATTAATAAATTTAAGTTTATTCCTGGTAGTCACCAAGTAATTGGTTCATTTTTCTTCTATCCTTCCAAGTTTTTGATTTCCTTGCAATATCCATCAGAATCCAACTTACTTCCAAGCTTAAAGTGACCCACTTCACATTTGCATCTCATAAAAAGGCTAATTCCTGCTTAAACTCCTACCATCTTATCGAACCTCGTAGCACACAATTCAGATGGCAGAATTGCATTGCTTTGGTCAAATTTTGTGTGCTTATGGGTTCCCTCAGAAAGATTTATTCTGCAAATGGGGTCTTAAAGCTGGTATGAATTTGTGATGGCTAATGTTTTGTAAGGTTGTGCATGGAGGTTACTTGAAGGTTTAGCTGAAGGAGAGACACAAGTTGACTGCCCATTGGTTGGCGAAAAAGCATATTTTTGCCATCCAATTGATCTTCATTTCGCTACGAAAGGTTTACAAGGTAAAACAAATTTATTAAGTTTCATTGCTAGGTTGGCCCAAGCTTCATTTTCAGGTCTGGCATCATGATTGGGTCGGTAAAAACGAGCTTTTTGGGTACGGTTTCTGTCACATTCCAACATCTCCTGGAAATCATCAGGTTATTCGTATTTTCTAAATAACACTTAAAAGGTAACGGTTCCTACATGGAGGCCGGTAGGTTCTATTTTGGACACCTTAGTATCAAGGCTGGTTGGAGGTGGTCCACGTCTTCGCAGACCAGATATTGTCTACGACCCAACTGATAGATTTTTGCTCCAAACCGAAAGTATGGGTTACATAACACTCGATTTGAATGTCGTAACGAGAAATTTTGATAAGTTTGGTGTGGAAATGTAGATCATTTTTTATGCTTTTGAAAGTTTTCAAAACAAAACGTTAACTACTTCATATTGACTTTGACCGTATTTCTTTTGATATTTCATCAAATGTTTGTGTAAATAACCCTCTGAAACAATAAATAAAACACTAGTAACAAGTGGCTTACTGACTTTTGGGTCCTAGAAAAGTAAGGCACTGGATAAGAACTGCGGTGGCCAAACCTAAGGACTAAATTAAACATATGACCACTATGTTTCAATAAAAAAGTAATGATACTGACATAAAAAGTAGCCATGGGCGTAATAATCTGAGTAGCACTAAGTGTGAAATGAGGTTGGTTACAAGAGTGAAGAGTTAAGAATCAACTCTGTTTAGTTTAAAAAAGCAATAGTATTACGCCAGACAGATTGTTGAACAACATCGTTTGAATAAAATGTATTTCTCACTATCCCTGTAATTCTAGGATAGTGAAAAGTCTCATAAAGTCAATATTGGTCTCAAAATCGCAAAGCACTAGCAGTATCAGGCTACTCCCATGACTACTAATGAAGAAGGCGAAAACACGAATATAGCGTATTTTCTTTTAGCCAATAACGGATATCACGTAGTAATTGTGATAAGCTATCTTCATTTATGTTACGCCTATAAACAAAATATACTAAGTACAATATAATTATATTTGAAACGCTAAAAGTTAAGGATAAAAGGGTTTTATTAAAAAATAAAAAATATTGTCACCAGAAAACCAAAGTGTAATAAACTAAGTTATAATGTTTGAACTGGCACAAATATTATCTAATCAAATCTAGCTTTACAATTACAAAGCACAAACATTTTCGTTTGTATACTTTGATTTTCTAGGAATATCAACGTAGGACCAAACTCCCAAGTTCTTTAATAAACCAAAGATTTCATAAATACTGAGAGTTTGACTTTGCTATAGTCTTTAGCACATTTGTAACTAAGGTTTCTTAATCTAGTCAAATTGGAAATCATGAATGAAAGATATATGTGGAAAACGGTCGATGCGTCATGAAACATATGGCTTAAGCTGACTGGTTGTTAGGGACGCTTAGCATCGTGTACTCAATCACAATTTGATGCGGATGCTTGACCAAGCGCCCTCACGTAGAGTGTATAAAGTAAAGCCAATAAGGTTAGCATCAATTTCTATGACTGACAGAATGGTTTATTTTGAGTAGGTCGATGTTTTAAACTTTTTAGATGTGCCAATTACTGCGTGCGGCGTTTGTTTTCAGTGTACCATTGTTCTTTTAAAACATAATTTGTTTCTGAGTTACTTGATCACTATGAAAAATTTGTTGTCACTATTGATGATGATATTACTACTTAAGCACCTAGTACAAAAAACTGTTCTTAGTATAACAGAATGTATGTTACAGTGTGTAAATGCATAACCTTGCCATTAAATAATGGCCAAAAAAATTATCTAACCACGTATAAGTGACTGTAACCCATATTATGCGCCCATCAAAAAACTCAGGTCGCGTCTGGCATGGAAATGCTGATATATAAAATTTGGTTTATTTGTCAGAATCTTTGATTCTGTTGTACTTATCAAAAGCCTCAACAAAGCAGTGTCAAATTATAGGTTTATAAGACAATATGTAGTTGTGTAGTAATGAATGGCTCTCCGAAACCAGTAATTCGTTAGGTGCTGAAAATAAATGCTGACCTTGCTAGTTTTATCAAAGCAAACTAGCCGAAAGTGTAATTTCAGATCTATATCACCTTGACACTTTATTATTTTCTTGAAATACCTTTTCCGTCTCTTTTCTTGCCAGTAATTCATCGCTCATATTTTTTCACCTTCAGTCATATTTCCTTCTTGGTCCACAAACTACTAAGTACGTGCGCATTATTGGAATAAAACTTTAAAATGTACGTGATATGAAATTCAAAAGATCTTCCATATTTTTACAAAAGGAGAGAAACGGGGGTTAAGTCAATTAAAACTTATGGAAGTTTGCAGTGTTACCGAAACTTAATCAAGTAAATTTAATTCAAAAACATTTTTAGCCAAAAGCGTAATTCATTTTAGGTAGATGTGTTGCTTTATTCAAGAGTATGTTTATATTTATTTATCCTATACCGAGGGAAGCAATGTTGCGGAAGTGGTATATATATCAAAAATTAACGAGATTAATGTTACATTTTTGACAATCGATAGTTTATACTCGTACCATCAGATGCCCATAACCAGAGATCTCTTATCTTCGTTGAAATTTCCGTTTAAAAACCTTTTACTACCATCCGTTATGTTGAATAACGTCATCCATTGATTAGGTAAAAAGAGGATTAAATCGAAATTCAAAGTGGGATCCTTTAAGGTTATCACATAGCTAAAGCTTTACTGAGAGCAAGAAACTCAATAATAAGCCAGTTATATTCCAGATTATAAGTAAACAGGTGCTTTTTGTGATGATAGTTCAGCAGCAAACGTAGTCAAATATTAGTTTTCAGTAGCGATGTAGAACTGTGATGATTAGAAGTATTCAAATTATAGTATGAACTAAGAATCCCGGAAATAACGTAGTCGGATCAAGAAGTACTAGATAACCACAAACGAATGTACTGTATTTAGAATTCCAAATCAAGCATTTAGCAAGTCAAAAGGAATCATTAGTTCATTCAAACACCACAAAAACACAAATACAATTTTCAAAAAAATGGATCTAAATCTAATCACTGAAGCTGTTTTAGGAAAAATATAGCACAATAAATCTTGATATTAACAGAAATTTAACAACAATTATACAAGAATATTATCTAAGAGTGTTTATTGCGACACGATTAAATAGTAGCCAAGATCTCAGCCATTTTCTTTTTACAGGTAATAATGTTCCTGGAATAATCATCCATAGGATATATTTGGTTCTTAAAATGATCTTTCTGGCTAATGGACTGGTCGTTGTAAATAAAAATGCTACATGTTAGACAATTTCTTGTGTTAATTAATTTTCCGGTTTCAGGATCGTCAAGTACAATCTCCTAACATTCTTATCTGTTTCCTTCAAGTTCGTTTAACAAATAATTGATCATCAGCGTAAGAGCAAACAAATACGTCTTTGAAATGAAATCGTTTTTCCATAAGGGTTTCTAACCATTCAGTCTGGTAAGCTTACATAAATCTTTTAACCTATTTACAGGTATCGCTTCATTCACTGTGGCTAGTAATAAAGTTCTCAGAATTTTTCAGCACAGTTTTGTTTTCTAGGACAATATCACCGTCTAGTCTTTTTATCTTTCACTAGGTTTGGTTGCTATTAGAATTAGGTGGATAATTAGAGGTGTAAAACTTAGTGATATGTTAAGTTTTAACTCATTGTCAATTTTGTTCAACACTATCTCTGCTTTAATTAGGTGTGATAACTGCTCAGTTTATTATTAGATTATTTTTAGTGTGATAATTTGTGAAGAATAATACTGATTTTATTTCGTCACGCAGTTTATTCAGGATGCTATTGCTTGTATTAAATCAATGTGAACTTTGTTTGAAAAGACATACAGCATATGTCTTGTAGTAATTCTGTGTATTTCCTCTACATACACTGATTGTTAACTGATCACCAGGTCTTTGCGAGGTCGTAATATCAATGAGTGTATTTTGGTGCTAAAAGTTAACTCATTTTGAATGGTTAGTCAAATTTTCTTATGCACTTGTCTTCGTGTTTTTATTTTGGGCTGTCGAAATTGCACCGCTTCAAAGTATCGAGTATCACGAATAATCTCGTAAGTTCAACACTTTGAAAGCTATTTTTGGTGAATCGGTAAACATTTTCGATGTTTATTTGTTAAACTATAGGTTTATGGTACTTTAATTTATAAGCTTATCTATAACTTATAAAGTGTTGTTATACCTTTTTGGGCTCATAAATTACAATTAATTATTGAAAACCTGTTATTCATTTTTGTACAGAAAATGTAATAATTCTGCATATATTTGAAGTTTAGTACTTATGATATGACGTGATGTTGTATTTTATCTATTTAATCACATGAGTTTCTAGGTTTGAATAACAGATATTTGGGTGGATTTCTACTGTTCTTATTAATAATTCAAGGGACAAGAGAATTCAGCATAAATGATCGATCGCTAACATATACTGTAATTGATTTTATGCCAGTATCGTCATTAGTTTAGATAGAATCACATCATCTACTGTATATTCCTTCACATTTTCATCAAGGTAACTAATAGGTATCCACGAATGAAAGTGAATTCCCATTATTCTACTTGGATTGTCAAAATGCTGTAATAAAAAAGAGTATTTACTAGGAAAACATGTTTCAATACAGAACATCTATCTATTCTAATTTACTGCCTAGTTATTAGTATAAGGGTACCAATATGCATAGTTTAACCTACATCTTATTGACGGTTTATCCGTTGTCAACTCAGTAAGTAAAATCATAAAATTTAGTTTTATTCATTACCATAATCTGAATTTAATAATGGAACGTTCCAATAAGTTACTCACCATTAAAAAGTCAGAAAGTAGACGAAAAACTATTTTCTATTTGCAACATAATTAAAATTAACACAATGTATCTTTCAACATATTTATAGCACTTTAAAATTATCGCATGCAAGGGAACTAATAGGCATTTATGTTGATCCTAAATTAGCACTGGTGTTCAACAATAGTTTGAGTATGATATTGTATAAATTTCTATTGCAGTCCATCTTCCATTTTACTTGGTACTTTTTTACTTGTTATTATTTCAGACTTTTCAGTTCTGTAGATCGACATGGTCAAAACTGATTAGAATTTCGGAGACTGGGAAAAAATGGATAAATAGATTGACAGAAAGAGGGAAAGCAATAAACAAAAAACAAACAGTATCACTTGTTAGGATAACGTTTTGATTGGGTTTCTTCAGATGGACGTTGTGATGCTATCCTCATGAGTGTTAGGCTTGTTAGAATCAGGATTAATCTTGTCATTTTATCGACGAAAGCGAAATCAATGAATAAAAGCGACAAAATAACAACATTTAAATGGGTATTACTAAACAATAAATGCATAACGAAAACCTGGAGAGAAAGGAGATTATTTTCATTGTCTACTAGTGCGTTGTCTGATTTTTTAGCTCATTTCATAGAGTGTATACCTATTATTAATTATTTCGGTTGTAATTCTTCTTCATATTGTTTTCTAAAACAATCACCAATAGGAAAGAAATCCCAACATCTTTGCTGATACAACTCCCAAACATATGTTTCCTAGATAAGAAAAAAATGCAGTGGTAATAGTAAAATAGGCAAGGCAGATTTTATTTGTTGGGAAAATAATCTAATATTGATGTATAACTATAGATGCACCTTTCTAAAACTTATAAAAATATAATTAACTAAACTGGTGGCTAGAATAAGACTAATTTTGAAGTGATAGAAGAAATTTGTTATTTAGGTGAATGGATTTGGGGTAATCACATCCTATTTGTTGGATGATTAAACTGTGATTGTTGTTCAACTTGGCAATCAAAGCT